ATGCTAGGCTAATCGCCTCTTGGCTCCACATCCATACTTGACACACAGACACGAGAGCAGTATTGATCTTCTCCTCTAGCTAACAGCAACAAAGCTCATGAATACAAAGCTACATTGCATTTATTGCCTGAGGATATAGGGACAACCTTATTAACACACAAATGTCCCTGACTGACTGAGTGATGACGTTACACTATCGTCTCTGGTAAAGCCCCACAAGCACGACATTAGCGGGCTTCTCTATGCCTCTCATTCAATTGGCTCCACAGCATGTGACGTGAATGAGATTCCAACTTTCTGTTTGAGTGTTTTACAAGCATTTTCTAAATAGATATAGCTGCAAAGCCGTTGTCTTTATCTTCTGTGTTTGGTGATTTTGTCAGGCTGGTTATAAAATGGTTATAAAATCAGGATTTTAGAAGCAGCTTGGAAGTGACTACTGGTTAACATGTAGTCTTAATGGGCTGCGTTTTAGTCACTATTTCATTCACAAAACAGAAACAGAAAAACATGTAAATGAGAACAGATTTATTGCCTGTATTGAAATACTGTATATGTGAGCACAAAGAGAAGGAGATAAGCAAACAGATCAAGACCTTCACCTAGGCTTGTTGTTGTATGTTAGCTCATGAAACTTGAGCTCAGCTGGCCCAGCCATCTCAGCTAAGCCACTGATGTGAGAGTAATACAGAACACGAGCCACTTAACAATAGCTACACTCTACTTGATCCTTAATCTAGTGAGCAAGGAAATGCAGACAGAATGATGGATCAATTTTAAGACACCAGTCACTTCTTGTAATAACATCTGGTTTTCTTAGATTTTATTTTTCACATTGACTGAATGAGTTTTCATATTGTATGGCTCAGAAATATTAATACATTCCACTTTACATACTTTACAAACTTTGTCTCCCAGGTAATTAACTTCCACTTAAATTCATGTGAATGTAGGTCTCCTCCTCTGTTCCTATTCCTGTGTACTAACTCAGCAGGAAGGCTGAGAGAGTTATTCAGCAGGCAGAGTGAAGGGGAGAAGGTGCTGATGGGATCTCTTTTCAGCCCAGTGGGGGAGTCCTCAAGCTGCAGTGTGTGGTTTTAAAGGGAAATACAGAGGATAAGATGTGTATGTGTACAGCCGCACTGGCAATATACCTCCAGGCAATGTTGGTTAGTCAGTCCACCACTTTGGTTCAGACTGAAATATTGGATGAAACTGCCATGAAATGTTATATTTGTGTTTGCCTTGTGATGAATTGTGATGAATTTGTGATAAGCTAAATTTTCATCTAGTGCCATCATCAACTTAAAGGTCAAAATTTCAAACTGGCCGATGCTTTGGTTTCATTTCCATCAACCTCAGCTGTATCTTGTGTTTGGTTCTTATTAGCAACATGCTAACAAGCTAAACCAAGATAGCCACCATGTAAAATTTTTCTCCGCTAAAAATGTTAATATTGTGATTGTGAGAATATGGATGTATTGCATGTGTGCATGCCTAATCATTCTGAACTTCATGGCGTCTCCATGACATCACTGTAGCCCCAACATATGGTTGCATTTCTGAGGAGGTGCATGTCAGCGATGGCGCCGTCTGACTCACTGGATGAAGGCTGTGGCTCTAAGCCTGCCACTGGGTGTCTGTTTCAGGCAGCGTTCTCCTGCCTTTCCGCTTCCCCTACATGTTACCATTTTCAAACTTCCCTTCGTTAAGGGAAACAACAGCAGCCTCCGAGCTAGCAACTGAAAATGATATGAAAATGGCAAGTTACGACCAAGCTCTAGATCATGCAATCACACGGTTGATATGTGTTTGCTGTTTTTTTGTGGCGTTTTCTTTGCAGGGAATTTGTCATTTTAATGACAGTTTGCTCACATGCAAGTGTTTCACCGAAATAAGTTTCCTTCTGAGGCTATTTTCCCTTGGCCCTGTTGCCACATTCTGTGTTCAACCAAGACAATTGCAATCGGTTTAAAGAAATGTAAACAGAGCGTTTCTCCCCAGTAGCAGAATAATAATGGGTGCAGCCAGAAGATTCTCCAGCGCTGACACAGCGGCGGGAAGTGTAACCCCTTAACACATAACCGTAAATAAATATTAGAGCAGCTCACGCAACTGTCTTAACTCTCAGCTATCTAGTGATATACAAATTGTGAGTAGCATCATGAAAAAAACAACTGCTACTAACTAAAAATGTAATACACAGGTCAATCATATTAAGCTGACACCAATTACCAGAATTTGTCAGCTTTAAAAGAAGGTTTGACAATTGTCAATTTATGTTATGTTTTGAAAACAACTCGAGGCAGTCGCAGATCCACACAGGATTTCCATCCTGGATTTCAAGAGCAGCAGTCAATAAAAATGCAAAATTACTTAATGCGGTAATAACAATCACACCAAACACAGAACAAACTGCAGAGACCAGTGCCTCATCATCAGGCAGAGTGACCATTCAGACACAATATATATTTACAAGCTAACCATGGTGCTGCTGTTCTTTACCGGGTGAGTCCTCATCTCCATCTCTGAGCAGGTTTTCCGTCAGTGATGGAGAAGCCAGAGGTGGAGGCAAGATGATGTAAAAGAGACGCATCGTGTGTCACGTCCAGACCTCTTGCCTCGGGGTCGCACAACACATCAGATGTGTGAATGACGTGTTCTCCACACACACACACATGTTGACGGGTACAAGGTTGAGTACAGTGGTGCTGCTGATGGTTAGCTTCAGCCCGTGCCTTTGATTTGTAGTATAAGTAGTATAAGTATAAGTAATACAAACTCAACACTTTTGATTTTATGTTTTTATTCCCATTTTGTTGAAATAAAAGTTTTTTCTATACTCATAGAGGGTTTATTTATTTTAAGTTTTGTTCACAAATGTGTTTAAATCCATGTTAGTGAGCCACAATAATCCATCTACCTGACAGGTGTGGTATATCAAGATGCTGATTACACAGGATGATTAACGCACAGATGTGCCTGTGGCTGGCCCCAATAAAAGGCCATTTAAAACTGTGCAGTTCTATTTTGGGGCTACACATGTGTAAAAAGTCTTAGATCTTTTATTTAAACTCATGAAAAATGGGAACGAAAAAAAAGTGTTGCATTTCTTTTTATGTGTATATATCGCTTCGTTCACCAGGATATCTCCTACTTACATTTCTATGATATGGAACGTGTCAAACTCCTCAAACAACATGAAGCTTACTGGATCTATGCTGTCCAAACATTGGCTCCTGAGGGATTTAAATAATGAACTTCTTCTTAACATGTTTCTGTGATTCCTGACACTGAATATCTTCTATATATGTTTCTGTAAACTGTTTTTCTTTGGACCTTACAATATGCCCCTCTTCTAAGATTTATCTCAGGGTGTTATTATCCAGCTCCAGACAGTTCAGATATGTATGAATATGAATATGCATATTTACCTTCTGGCTCCTTTTCTCATGCATCCTGATTTTATATGTAACACTGATCTTGCATGAATCTTGGGCATTATATTATTATGACGTGTGTTGTAGAGGGCTGGAGTGTATTTTTGATTGACATGTTTTCCATATGCTATAAGGACCTACTTCCATGATAGATGTATAGTATTATGTTGAGAGATTGTATTTATTTATTTGCTTGTGATGTTTACGAATATATTTATATGGTCTTTTCATAATGTATATTAATACCTACAGGCTAATCTACATGTGTAACCTTTAACATCTGGGAATGGACCTTTGTATGAATATTTCTGAAGTTTTTGATGCACCTGAAGCATTTCTTTTTTCTTTTTTTTTTATTATTTTTTATTATTAACCTATTCAATTAGTCGCTATTTGGAGTTTCCAATCTTCTACTCATTACATATTTTTGATCATGAACTGTTGGTGAATTGATGTCTATTTATTGTTATCTTCTATTTCTATTTCTATTTGTGGGATGAGGCGATTGGTTGCCAGGTTACAGCCACTCCTATTTAAGATGACCACTAATTGTTGAAAACTGTTTGGTTTGGTGAAGGTCTAACACCAAAACATTACAAATAAATTGTGTATCTGTAAGTCAGACAGTGTGCAGGACACAAATTGTCCCCGTTTTTTCGAAGATGCACTTCTAATTTGGAGATTCATAGTTTTCAAAATAAAAGCTCATTTATTTCCTTCTACTGTTTTCTTCTTGGTCATGTCCAATCCTTATGAAACTTATTAAACAGTGACAGTTGGCCAATGGTCATGCCTATACTTTTATTTGATTGGTAGCAGAAATACAAAAGTTTACCTTATTACCTAGCATCCACATCCACGACCCCACCAAGAACTCAGGCAGAGGATTGAGGCAGGTGCCAGCAAGAGTGTAAGTGTTAAAATAAAAAACCTACAGGGTGGCACAATGGCCGAGCGGTTAGGGCGCACACCTCATGAGCATATTGAGCTGTTAGCAGTTGGTCGCTAGTTTGATTCCCTCCCTGCCGGCCAGTATGGCTCAAAATATAACTTCAGTTTATTTACTCATCCTGCTCACACGCACCTGTCTCACTAAATATATGTGTGTATCAGTGTATATAAAATGAACTTAATTGCAACCATAGACGTTATGAAAAAAGCTCCTTCAATCAGAATTACTTTTAAGCTTAAAGCATATGTGTGGTTGTGAGAGGGCCAGATTTTTCCAATTACCAGTTTTCCTAATCAGATCGATTAAATTTGGTTGCAGACCAGCCATTAATCTTCATCTGTGCTACCACGCTCTGCAATCATGAACATTTTGTCTTCCCTCTGACTTTCTAATGCTTTCCTTCTCATCATCTATACAATTATCACAGGAGAATGGCAGACCCCTGTGGTAAATGAATTTCATATCAGCCATATCACAGTTATTAGATACACTAATGTACTCTATCATTTTCTGCTGGGAGTATAATAGACAATTAATGTGCTTTTAATTCATGCTGCCTAACCTTCTCACCCCTTCCTCGTCTTCCTCTCCCTTCGTCTCTCCCTCAGGTTTTGCAGTGAACCTCCAGGTGATCCTGGCGAACCCACGGGCGCTGTTCAAGCGGCGCGGCTCCCAGCCCGGGATGCAGGAGTCCGACTTCCTCAAGCAGATCACCAAGGTCAACGAGTTGGAGCCTAAGGCCAACAACTGCACCCGGGTCAGTAACCAGGTGCCGTTGTCACCATGGCAACAGATTGAAGGTCCTTTTGACAATGTAATAAGGAGCTCATTTGCTTCTTACGGCTTCGTGCTCAAGTCAAGGACGTTTACCATTTGAGCTTTATAAGGCAGAGTATTCATTTCTCATAGACATGTAAACAAACACACCATTCTGACGTTAAATGATTTAATATATTTAATTATATAATTATATAAGCAGATTCATAAAGACACTATTTTGTAGATTCTCTTATTGTCTGTGTTCATGTGTGCACTCACACAAATGTGGTGTCCCTTAGCACCAAACATACATTATGCCTTTAAGTTCAATATCTGGATATTCAGTGAGGCTCATCCTCGATAACTGTAGTGCAGGATGAAGCTTGTCTGATGTTGCATAGGTGTTGTTTTTACCTCATGATTGTGATGTCTGGCACCTTGTGCAGCTTGACAGTATATGGGATATTTCTAAGCTGAAGTAAGGGACCGTTTCAAAATTGCAAAATTGCCAAGAGAGATTTAGATTTTCCTATTTTTTTCTTCACACTTGAGACGAACTTCATTTTTACCTGGATCAGTGTGAGCACAATCTTCATTTAAAAAATAATAATAATATTGTCCAATGAACAATGGCAAATTTTTTGTCTATAGCTTTCTCCTTTTCTATCATAGAAATCTAATATCACTCATTTGAACCTCAAGCTCCAGCGTTTAAAGAGTAACTTAGAATTCTATATATTTTAGAGTTTAACCATGCCCCCTTTACAGATTCAAAAAGTGCATTCAAACCCAGACATACATCACTGCTCACCCCCCATCTCACCCGCCCCAGTGTCCCTCTCACCCCCTGACTTTTACAACAATGTGTTTTAGCTGTTTTCAGTCATTTTAATGCCTACATCTTCAATTTGGTGGTTGTTCAAAATTGATAGAACCTTAGTTACAGATGTAACTCTCATTTTAACGTCTGTACGTCTGGTCGCAGCTCACATTTCGCTCGCAGGATCCACAGCAGATTTTGGAGATATTTTGGGCGATATTTCAGGAGACACTCCTATGGGTCGTATCAGAGGGTTGAAAAACGACCTATATGGTTGTTTAGGTTGGAGGACCTGTTGTGAATTACATGCCACACCGGCTCATGCATGCATGAACATGAATGGTCACGCATATGTTTTCAGGTGTGTTAGTCTGGAAGGAGATCGTGTCTGATACGGAGCTAAAACGCTCATCTGGATGGAGATCATTTTAATTTTAAAACGAAAACGTAGTAGCGTGGATGTAGTCTTAGAGCCGTTTGAAATGTTAGCTTTCTTGCTTAACATTAGCTTAGCAATGCTCCAGGAGATAGCTGACGTGGAGAGTCGATTTAATTTTACTTTTTACTATAAAGAAAACATGCAGAGGGGAAAATGTTTTAGATTATTATTTGTAAGCATTTTGTGACCAGCTGAACATATGAGGAGTAAATGGCAACAGAAAATGAAGCAGAAGATTTCCAACAACTTCCGGTTTAAGCCTCGGTGTAAATCTAAATTCAAAGATATTTTCGTGCTTTAGCTTTACTTTCCACCCAATATCTGTGCAATTTCTTGCCCTTACGTTTGTGTTTTAAGGGTCAAAGATCACACAAAAGCAATATGTGGTTTGTATCCTCTGTAAAATTAAAGTGATCTTTCTCACAGTCACCGCTGTTTGACTAAGCAGGGCAGGAGTGATCAGTTAGATAATAAATATATCTTCACACTGCACTGACCTGCATATTGGAGGTGAATGACACAGACTAGGGTTTAATAAAAGCCTGATTTATCAATCTTAATCTAGCACTTGCGTGTTTGTGTGTGACTGGGCCAGATATTAAACTGCAGTCATAATAATTGCCACTATCACAGCAGTAGCTCAACATGGGGCATCTCTCCCCACTATCGACAGCATGAGTCATCCTTTAAGCTGGTGGCATGGTCTAAACTTAGACACACACAGCTTGAATTGGATAGAAATGACGTTATAGCACTATCAATTCTAGTTGTGTGCTTAGACAGCTGAGATCGATGCAGCTCATCTCAAATTACCACAGTCCCTGTTGGCACTAGGTTTTATGAAGCCACTCATCCTCTTGACAGCCATCACGGAGCCGTCTTAAAGGACTTTTTGTGAGAAATGGATTCTATTACGTTTTTACCTTTTAAAGGAATGCATGAGCTAAAAAGTGTCACGACCCCAAACAAGAAGCGAGTCTGCAGGTGGAATTTATTTACAGGCTTCTTTTTGTTCAATTTATTCTTCAGTTGCTGTTGTAGGTGATGTTGGTGATGTTTATCTGTCACAGCCTGATAATTAGACTGAATATTTATTTCGTGATATTATCTAGTGTGACATCATGTTCATTAATCATTTCCTGTTAGGGATTATTTTGTCCTAACCGATCAGCAGTGACCGACATATCCACCTCATCACAATATGATCGGATTTTGGTCATTGCTGATGTTGATGTTGGGCAATAGGTGCCTACATTATATCAAGCTGTCAGTTTACACTGAAAGGAGATTCACAAGTAGTTCATTGATTGTGTAGTATTAGGAGTAGCCTATTATACAGTTTTAAATTTCCTCTCTTGACACATTTTAAACTGATAAAAAAAATCCTCTGCTGTGATTAATATTTTGTTTAATGTGGTTTTTCCTCATAAATGTGAAAATGGAAAACTGGGTCTGAAGCTCTTCTCCTCTTACTTCCTCATTGAGAAGTGTGGATCAGGCCTTGAGCCCCGCCCCCCCCCTGCTGTCTCCAGGTGGACAGGTGAAAGAGCAGAGAGTATCAAGATGGTCAGAGGAGGAAACATCAGAGAGACTCAGCCACATGTTTGAGCCTCAGTCAGACCCAGACTCAGATGAGGAGTCTGCTGAGACCAGAACCAGAGACTAGCAGGCGGATCAGAACGGTTAGCGCAGTTAGCATCTTTTATTTGTTTATGTTGGTTGTTAGCTTGTAACTGGAAGTGGCTGACACAGTGTTAGTGGTTGTGCTAATGCTAACTCTCTCTCTCTGTACTGACAAGGTTTCAGGTTTATTTAGCCCCGCCCCCCATCCCCACAAGTTGACAGGATTGGTTCCTTAGTTTTGTGACGTAGGAAACCCTGGCTGTTTGAATCTGTTTTTTATTAGACTGTCATTGGTTCACTGTAGTTCAAGGTGGAAACACTCAGTCATGGTGTTGATGATTATTTCACTCATCATATGTCTTGTAAAAAACATAATACAGATGTTAACAAGGTTAAAGACTTCATTTTCATCTTTAATATTCTTGTAATGGATAATATTAAGAGGGAAATTCAAACTTAAGGTTAAAAAGGAAGCATGTTTTTTTTCTACCTTTGTCTTCTGTCCTAAATGTGAATAATGTTCTCTCTCCAGGCTCAGCCCCATAGGCATAGCGTCACAGCAATTGTACAATATATGGAGAATTTAAATATACTGAGAATCAGCACTTATATTATCACAGATTTACTCAGTAATATTTGCTTAAATGTGTGTTTTGGGTAAAAACACTTGATCTCTGATTACCTTAACAACCACCACAGATGCCTGTGTTAAATTGCTGAATTTGTTATTTGTACGTAACGGATGTATTATGAGGGAAGGGAGCTCAGTGGGGCAGAATATGGTCAGGGCCCCTGCTGATGCTAAGGCTTGACCAAGAGATTTTCCAGTTCAGTCCAGTAACTCTGTGTTGTGGAGTGTGATAGACATGGCAGCATCTAGGGTTCAGCAGCAGGGCTTTGGTTTTTAGTTTTGTTGATAAATATTTAGGTCAGTAGAGCGAGTAAACTGAATCATTTATTCTGCTAGATGCTTCTATCCTTCCATTACATTGCAAACTGTATTTTCACTCCCTGTGGAGATCAACAGATGTAAATTCTAAATTTACTGGTTCACCGTATGTGTGCAGGTCACATCGCTGCACTGTACATCCCTGGTGGGTTATGGGTAAGTGTTTCCTGCAGGGAATAGGATAAAGACCACCGGAGCTGCTGGATCATCTTTTACAGCTGGCTGCTGCTGCTGCTGCTGCAGACAGCTCCGTGTTGAAACTATCATCATCATTATCAGCCCCATTACACTAATGGAGGTGCCCTGCCGTTGATATTAATACAGGCCATTAGCAAGCTATGACATCATCAGTCATCACCCAGCACTGCATAGACAAGAGGATGTGTTCTCAGCATCTATCACATCACAGTTACTAAAGCAGCGGGATGTGACATCATCACTCATGAAGCCCGTGTTGTGCAGAAGATGTGACATGACTCATGAAGTCACTACTCACACGGTAACTTCACTGATCGTATGTCACGAAGCTCAGATCTGACATCATGTAAGTTTAGACAACACAACACACTGGATTTCATTTATGATTAATGATGTCAGTGATGATGTCATCTGTAACTGGATATGATGTCATCATCACCTATTGATTTTGCTGCAAAAAATTTACATTATTAATTCTAATGAATCTTTTTTACAATGAACAAATTACAATAGAGAAATGAAATATAATAAGAATTGAATACACCATTAGACCACAGATATATTTAAATATGGCTGGCTCAGGAGGCAGAGCAGGTCGTCCACTAATTAGAAAGTTGGTGGTTCGATCGCCGGCTCCTCCAGTCGAAGTGTCCTTGGGCAAGATACTGAACCCCACCTTGCCTGATGTTCCATTAAAAAAATACAAGTGGCTAATATCATTCCAAAAATCTTTCACCTTGTTAGATTCATTAATAAAGATGAATATCAGTCTCTCGTTTTTTAAGTAAGTTATACAAATATCAGTCAGTGCATTTAGTTAATAAGGAGTTCAGAGGATAAACAGTATATTCTGAAAAAGAATAGTTTGACATTTTGGGAAGAATATGCTATTTCACTTTCTTTCTGAAAGATGAAAAGACCAAAACCTGTCTTTAAATATGCAGCTCATCTTAGCTCAGCGTACAGACT